GATTATTACTGTCGCTTATTTTATTTGCTGATCAATAGCACGTCAAAAACTGTCCACTGTGATGTTTATGAGTTTTGGATCTACTCTTTACGCAGCACTACTTTGAATAGATCTGATTTTATCAAACTAATCGACTTCTTTCTGTTTCGTTCAATTTCGCTGGTCACCGAACCACGAACAGGCGGAATATATTTAGGGCATAGCTGGTTTTGGTTGCTGGGGCTTTGACAGACCACTTACAAAAGTTCATACCAATACCTGCAACTCACACCTCTAAATAATTTTTGTTTGCTCATGAGCCACAAAATGACAATGGATCACTCGGATTACGCTATCAGCACTGAACTCAACCCTGAGCGTAGCTACCGTGGTAACCTGTGGTCGTTGATGTATTAACAATGTCCGAACCACCACGATCAGCTGCATCTTGGCTCGTTTTGGTACCAAACCGCACGTCAGGATTTACGTGAACACATTTTGAGTCAGATTAGCTGGTTCGCACACATTGCACGGCTTAGTCAACCCGCCCAATCCACATCCGTCCACAAGCGAGATATGATGCAAGACAAATCCATTTCATCACAGCAGATGAAGACTGTGGAAAACAGATCGTCAACCGCGGAGTAGAAGAAACGTGCGATCAATGGATCAATAAGGTGCGCTGAACGAAAACGGAGCTTCCAGAGACCTTGGTCACTGGGGGAACAGGGTTATCCTAAGTTCAGTTGTTCCTCACTTAGTCAAGACTGTGCATCTGATGGACACTAATTCGGCTTTAGCCATCATTAACCGGGTCCCAGAAGACCGTCCGAATTAACAAGCTATCGCAACCGAGGCAATTATGATTCGCTTGTCAATGCCAAAACTATGTGCACCCAAACACTGGTGCATGCACTCAGGCACTTCCCTGACTGAAAGTTGACCACATCAGGCATAGGTGGAGTGATGAACCAAATCCACTGCACACCGTTACGTAACCCATTCATGTTCAAACAAGAGAAGTAGAGGAAAACTGTTCCCTTAAACACCTCTTTTGCTATCACCAAATGACAACGCCACATCATCCTCCCGCTAAGTTACTACATAAATGGGACCTAATGGCTTGAGAATGCACTCACGGAAAAGATACGTTCCCCTACGATTTGATCTTATTACACAGACGGTGAAGGGATTCGAAACCACAAATGGCTGCCGCCTGTGCTTTTGTACAGCGCAAGATTTATTGGCTAAGCTACGTAGCCCCACATTTTAAACACAACCTAAATATGCTAGACCACGTAAGTGAACATTTTGCACTGAAGAAAGTAGAGGTAAAATACTGACACTTAGCGTACATTTGTCAAGCACTTTCCATCTGATTAGTGCCATCGTACAGGAAAATATGAAAGACTCAGAAGTATTGCATAGCTGTTTCCATCTGGTTAGGGCTTATCAATTCATCGACAGGCTGAACAAAAATAATTCATTCACCTGTACACCGGCAGGTGATCAGACTGTTTCATTCAGTACAAATATCACTAAGGAGAAGAATACGAGAACAGTGACATGCACGCATGCATGCCGGTTAGATAATAATTCATGAGGAGCGTCACTAACAACCGAACTCACTATTCGATGCTCTCCTTCAAATAATCCAAAACATCACGTAATGTTTGCGTAGATTTGAAATCGATACGTTTGGGCACATTATTGCAAGCCAGACACTCGGGCTTTCATCGGAAATTAGTAGGCCATGAGCAGGGGACAGTAAATAAGAATCGACAAAAGCATTTCAGATAAAAATTGTCGTAAAGCTTATAATTGGACCGTTATCAATTACAGCGAAGAGTAGAAAATGTTCAGTGTTAGAAGATTCATGAGAGTAATGGAGGATGTGATTCAATTTCATAGTGGAAATTCGTCGTGTACGGAGAAAATGAAGCGAATCCATCGACCCAACTGGGGGATCAAACCCCGGACCCCACAGGCAGAACGCAAGCTGATCAGATGGCTTATAATTTACATGATACAGCAAAACCCAACTTTGCGAGGTTATGGAGAGCATCACGCCTCGTTATCTCAGCACTAGCCTCTGAGGTTATGGCTCGGTTGGAAACTTTCACAACCTGCTGATGAGACCAGACCAAGTCGAAACAGCTGTATTTCGTGACGTACGCCACAACCAACGCTGTCTATGACAGTATACCACTTGCTCCATTAGACGACCACGATTACCTTAAACCCAGCGCGTAACCTCAGCATTACTAAACAGCTTTCCTCAACACACTCCTACAATGAGTCGTAGACAGCGGTGTTCGAACATCAACAGTCTACCTTCATCTTGTTTTCGCTACGGCCAGGTCTCTGCACCGTACATCAGAACGAGCCGAACTGCTGCAGCATACATTCGACCATTCGCAAACAATCGGATATCCATCGGCGCCAAGAATATCTCGAATTTGCAGATGCCAATCGAGCCGTCTGTATGCGAGCCGACACTTCAACTGTGATGCATTCGCCGGATGAGATGTAGCTGCCCAAGTAGAGAGTTTGTTCACTGCCTCTATTACTTCTCCAGTTGAAGTGACGTTGGGAGCTGAACCAACCCATTCCAGTAGAACCATTGTACACGCTGAAGGTGCAAAACGAATGCCAAACACGGCTACGCTAGCACTCAAACCGTCCAGAAACGGTTGCAGCACAATGTCGTCTACATAATCCAAGAAAGACAGTTTGCCATTCCGGAGGAAATCGACACTCCCGTTCTCCAACGAGGACAGAGCTGCTTCGATAAATCTATGACGAGGTTAAATCAAAAAAGAAGAGGGCAATCGTGACGAACGCCACTTTGTGACCTCGGGCCAAATCAGCCTGATTCTCATGCATGCACTGTTCGCGTGAGGTAGTGAGGGAGTACGATGCCAGCAAGAAGTTTGGAGACAATGTGGATTAAACTAATTCCCCTGTGGTTCTCACTGGGGAATCTCTCACCTTCCTTGTAAATCCATATGATCACTGATTCATACCGTTCAGTTGACAACTCTTCCTTTTCCCACATTGAGCCCAGGAGTTTCGCTAACTCCAAAACCAAGGCTGAACCTCCATCCTTAAAAACCGATGGGTACAGCCTGTCGGGGCCAGAAGTCTTACACCTTTTGAGGTAACTTATCTAACTGGAAACCTCTATTTCAGATGGAGTATTGATATCCACTGGCAGTGGCTGCCAAGCTGATGTAGAGGTGACATGATTGCCATAGCCTTACTAGCCGTGAATTAGTACAACGTCGGGTTCCTTAATTAGCTCACTCACGCCTGCTTTCCTTGGGCATGTACTCTTAATTAGACGGAAAAGATGGTGATTATTGCCGATAGCTGCCACCTTTATCATCTCTCTATACTTTTCTATTCACCAATTCTCGCGGTCAGTCCTCAGACTCTTGATGAGCTGACGTTTAAGGGCTTTGCGCCCTGTCATATCTGGAGGAGGAATGGTTCAACGGGCGTCCAGCAGAGCAGCTGAGGTCGATAAGTCCGATCGTTTGTGATCTAACCATTGGACGATCAATCACAGTGAGTAATGTCGCGTCTTACAATACCACAGCCTATGGATATATCCGAATAACCGCAAAGTAGTTTGTGGAACATTTTGTTTTGGATTCCATTTATCGATCTAAGTTTTTACATAAATTGGAATCGTTTGAATGCCCCTAGAAATTGCTAGTTTGGCAATCCAACTATTTTACAGATAGAGTACAAACCACTAGATAGGGGAAGGTTTCAACTAAACCCTCAGTTAATCAATTCCGGAGTTCTCTAAGGAGCTGTGCTATTCCCATTCTTATTTTCTATCTATATTTGTGATATTCCTTATGTTTCTCCTGCACGTATTTTGAACTAAGCAGATAACGTGCTGTGCCATCCTATTTCTCCTTACTCCGAACTAACCTCCTTCATCGACAATCTTGAATAAATTCAGGCATTCTGTTTCTCATCGGGGCTAACCTTAAACCCCAGTCAAGGTGTTGAGTGTTTATTTAGTTTTGCTCGCTCTCCATATCCGACAGACCCCACAGTGACTAATAACAATCTTTATCTGGGGTGAGCTCTGTCAAATATTTTGGTGTGACCATAGATAGGAGTCTTCATTGGTCAACCCACATCCACAAATGCATTGGTAAACTGTGGTGCCTATTATTGCAAATTGGAAAGTTCAGGTAGATTGGAACATTCCAGTCAGTTATTTCTACCTTTGTTCATCAGTATACTTCCCCATCTTACTTTACCGTTCCCCAGTTATTTTTCCTGGCTTACTCAAACAGAATTTCAAAGTCATACGCCGCGGTCTAAGTATTATTAGCCGCGTCTCTTCTATTTCTGTGAATGAGTTAGCTGTAAAGCTTTCAGAGTATCACATAGCTTCCTGTGTGAGATTTGCAGAGAGGATTCTGAAAGATCCTGAACAGCTATTGCACGCAGAACTGACACGTTGATGTTCCCATAATCCCACACGCTCCTAATTCCGTCCAATTCAGAATTCCTCTATACTGTACCCTGCCCATTTACTAAAATAAAGAGCACAAAAAAATTAAATTTGTCTTAACCCTTGATTATGAAATGTCCCCATGTCTGTAAAAAATTTTCTCCTGCGTTGATTTCATACTCTGTGACAGTTGGCATGCACGATTTTTTTAAACGAAATATGAGCTCCAGTTCTTGAAAAAAGTTATACACAATACAATTCAATGCTCGCAACTAATCTCAGAACAAATTTGCTAATCAGGCGAGAGAGAGAGAGAGAGACTGAGATTCCAGTTATAGCAGAAAACACTGAACAAAGTAAGCGTTTTAGCCATTCGAACTGGACGTATTTAGCGATTGGAAAACCGTAACTAAAGTAATCCCAGTGAAGCGATAGCTAACGTAGATACATAATAATAGCATATTTCCGGCGATGCATCCATGTAATACGCACAGTGGGGCGGAACAGTGAGAGGAAGTGCACAATTGGAGTATGGATTGTGCTATGAGTTTGAAACGGGGCTAGAATTTAAACTGATAAATTCTTCCAGAACACCAAATCGTCTATCGTAGTCCAATCCGAGCCAGTCGAGAACGAAGTGACGTCTACGAACTGGGTAGTGCCCGGTTGTAAACGATTGGTTACACAACAAGAATGACGGCGGAGACGTAGGAGTACGAGGAACATGGAGTAACTGTTTGAATTCCGAGGGTTTCCGGACCAACGAATAAGACGATTCGTCCATACTGTGAAAAATCTCAGAGTCGGATGGAGTCAGTTGAGAGAGATTAGGAACGGAGTGCTTCTTCTGGGGCTGTTCACCCCAGAACATTGTTCGTCCAGTAAGAAGGCGGCCGATTCGTCTTAAGAATGGAACAAGACTTGCCGACTGACTGAAAAATGATGACAGCATCTGGCCAGAAATGATGCACATCTGATTGATAACGTAACCAGTTGTGCGAGCGACAGCTGAGTGCTTTAGTTGAGCGATCCAGGAGATCGGAATCTTCAGCCATCGTGAAAACATCGAGAAACTGTTATACCAATGCGTCCGAAGACGTGAGTTATTGTAGATAGTAGTAAACAATTCCTCATGTCGTTCCAGCTTAAAGAATGTCGTTACCAACTCCAGTTTCATATAAAAGACATATAAACTGAGAAACACCACAACAACACCCTGATTCACAGCAATATTCGCCAATGGACTTGTACGTGTGAGTTTGTAATGACGGAAAATACAATCAACCGTGGCAGAAGGATCGAAGACGGAAATGTTCGCTTGTGGAAATCCTTCTGGCCAACCGCATGAATCGGACAACCGAAAGGCGTCTGGAATATCATGCAACGCATACGGCAAATGTTCATCGCCAAGCGTTTTACTTTTTAGAAAAGCGGTCAACGCAAGGTAGAAATCCGAATTCCACAAATTGTAAGCAATAATGGATATGACTGAGACGGAAATATTTGAGATAAGCAACTGTAGTCCAACGTGAAACAAATGTAGCAACAGAAGGTTCTGTTCCGTTACACTGCGCGCAAACAATGTATACAACACCAGGATATAAATGTAACAGCCTGCGTTAAACAAAATGGACAAGCCTAGCATGAATGGATAGAGCATGAATGTGCGAAAACAACGTATGATAAACAGGTCTTCTATAAACCAGAGATAGATCAAACGATGAGCCAAGGGTAGCGCAACAAGCTCCTGTATTAGGCCACAAAGCAGGAGATAGAAGCTGAATAGTCTACTCAGGACAAGAAACTGCTCTGTGAGTGTTCGATTGCTGGGGCCTGTCATGAGTACGATGGATAATGAGGTGATCCGCGTGGCTTATCGTGCTCTGAGCTGAGCTGAAGAACGACCGACCACAAAAAAGTTATGAGAGAACGGTGGACAACCATTAAATATTGCCGAATAAAACGGATCGATGATCACGTGAATCTGAAAGCTTTTCGTTCAAATATAGGTCAGGCGTCGAAATAATTGCAATTGTGGTACAATGGACTGCTAGTGTCCTTTGAAAACGAGACGACTGCAGCAATAAGCGCAGAACTAACACTGAGATGTACGGACCATTTATCTCTCAAACTTTATTTGGAGAACTATTACCTATTGACCAATGATGGTCTGTTACTGTCACCTGAATGTTCTAGTTTGTAAAGCAAATAACGCTGCCTGAAATTCAGAGTCCGGTTTCGGTTCTTTCGGTTACTCATGCATTAGACTAAGGAGGAGAAAAGACAAAAGCGCAGTATGGGAGCAGACTAACTACATTAGCGCTACTATTTACAACAGTCAGCCATCTCACCAAACCTTCTCTACCGATCAGGTTGGCCCCTAAGACCTCTTACCTGATCAAGGCCACGAAATCGTCTGCTTGCCCATTACCTTTTCCCACTAATTACCTTCCCAGATAAACGTCAGATGTCCGGAACGCCATGCGACATGCATGACGCGCCTCATCCAGTCATGGAGATCGGGTATTTGAATGACTGCACGACAGCGATTACACAATAATCGTCGCTAAACTTCAAAATAACCTTCGGTTAGTCATATGAATGTTACACGTTGTTGATCAATCTTATGAACACCACATTACTGTCCGACATTGCTACATCCGTCTACGGTAAAATGCCAATCGTCTTTATATTTCTTTCTGATATGACTATCTGACTCACAGAACTAAATTTCAAACTTTAATTAGGAGGACTGCTCACACCTCGTTGCTTTTCCTATCCCATATGGTTTTTGGCACTAATGAGTTGATTATCCGGACAAAGAGATCTTAATGCTGTGCATGATATTGTTCTCTATGCATATTAAAATGCAGGATATGCCAATGATTCATCACGTCTCTACTTGAAAGGATCATTTACGGAAGCACAAAAACGTTAAGTGATAGAGAACTCCGAATACTACACAGTCTTATTTAACCTCGTTCTTTATTTCGGGTTGTTTACATAACCCCGAATAGACGGCTGCTAAGATTTGCAGGGGTGATAGAAATCAAGCGCCGAAAGCCCTTAATGTGTCAGCAGAAGAAGGTCTACATCGGTCTTGTCCAGACGATCACTCAAGCGGAAGAATGAACTAATATTATGTCAGATTATCTTGCCCTGTGTTGTATAAAGTATTTTCTTTCTACAGAAAGCAAAAGCTGAGATGCAGCGATACCAGGATTAAATCTTGCACACTTGGAGTGTTGTGCTCTTTGTTCAAGTTCATTTAGGGAAACAATTGTTTAAACTTACTTACTTTTGTTTTTGAGCGGCTAACTCCTACTGAAGGATAAATCGGTTTCTTGGATGTCACTAATAATGGCAATACATGCGTAACGATCGGCAGCAAGGTTGACGCCGTGTGAGACCTGGTTCTGGTTCCTGTTACGAATTCCATATGCAGATGGAAGGTTCAGTAATTCCAATTCCAATTGGCGCCATAGAATACGGAATTCAAGATAATTGTTCAGCGATGCCTTTCTTGCCTTCGCGGACAACTGCAGTGCAAGCTCAGAGATCCGGTTTCTCTTATGACGAAGAGTCTTAACTAAATGACCCAGGGCTGCTTCTTTGATGAACGTTTTCAGCGCGGACCACTGTGCGTCGACAGTTGAATCATCGAGGGTGGTTGCAGCTATGTTGGAAGCGGCTGCGTCCGGCAGCGTCTGTCTTCCCTTAGGTCGTTCCAAGGGCGCGACGTTTGGTTTTCCCGGGAGACGAGTCAGGTGGATCTTGAAGCGGGAGCGTACAAGGGTATGGTCAGTGCCGTTCCTATTTCCAGTTTCTGCGCGGTGATAGCAACGGCAGTCTTCCACTGACAAGGCCCAGCGAGCACGCACCAAAATGTACTCAATCTGATGTCATTCGACCGTCATACGAGTACCACGTAAGGAGCGTTATCTCGGGTGTCAAAACGAATGTTGGCCACGACCACCCGGTTAAGGTCAGCAAATGTGACTGGGCGTCATTTGGATCGCTGTAGTATAACCAGTAGGTTGCTATGTGGCATGTTGATTAGTTTTGTGCCAGTTAGGTAGTCGGACTTCGAGTAGACAACCGATGTCTACTTTGTGATCGTGCAGTGAACACCTTGTGATACACTGGCTTTCTGTGTCTAGCAACGTTCTAACATTCCAGCAGGTCACGTGAAGGCTGGATCAGATGAACAGGTGGTTTAGGTTCCTTGCTTGCTCATTTATCACCCCAACCACTGGGAGAGTGCAGGGTGCGTCGCTGCTCGGGAACTCCGAAGCATAAACGCGATGTACCATTGTGAGACGATCCATGAANCATGAAGAAACTTGTGAATGAGGTACTAAGTGACGTCCCCAGCGTTGCTCGGCTTTTGTTCGAGTGTGCACCCTTGCACAACCAAGGGCGACCTGCAGGGTTTGCTAGAGCAACCGAAAACCGGTTTGGAACCGGTTCCAAACTGGTTACAACTTGTTTTGGACCGGTTCTAGCTGGGGCACCCTCGGGTTACCAGTTACCTTAGATAATGATAGATAGGTTCGAGTTCCATGTGCTTATTTACATTATCCGTTCTGGTGTGCCATGCTTCGATGAATTCCCGTATTGACATGTTGGGTCCTCTTCCGATTATTCTAGTTCGAAGACATGACCCTCAGCATCCATGTGGATTGAGATTTCTGATTTCTCCTCCTGTCGTTTGACCGCCAGTGTGTGTTCGTGGAGTCTTGAGCTTTCTGCTTTCTGTTCACGACCCCTTTCGGATGGCTCAGCACCAGTCCAGGGTCTCAAAGTGTCCGTGAGGTGTGAGGGTCGGTAGCACATCTCAAAGTTTATCCTACCCGGACGAGTGGGCAAGTGACAATGGTCTTATTTGGTGGTGGGCCACATTCCCACACGTCGTGATGCTATCAGCATACACTGGGGGATATGACACGATAGCGCATTTTGATGCGTTGAATTTCGTGCCATTCTCGATCGGCCATTGACGAGCTGCGCTGAAGTGCCATTGAGCCCTCAGGTTTTGTCACCGTATTCCACGCTTTGGATTCATCGGTAAAAACGTTTGTTTTTGATACCAAAAAGACGAGTACCAAGCACGGATCCCCCCTGAAATCTCGCGGACTACGCTAATAGGTGCAAATAGTGAATCACTGAAACGGTGCAACAAAACTGAGGAATCTGATTCCCCCATCGGATCACCTTAAAAACAGTTGTTTTCAGTTTTTACAACCATTAACCATGCACTTTCGTGCACCGGTTTTGGTTGCCCATTTGGATAAAAGAGCGAAATGAAGATTGGAATGTCGAAACAAATTCAAGCGGAAGATGGGGAATACATATAGAGTGGTGTTAGGAAAATAACGAGTGGATGCACGAGCGCCACTGTTTGCGACACCCAGCCATATCACTCAGTGTAGCTAACCATCGGTGATCATCATCCCGAGGTCCCCAGCCAGGGAGCCTAACGGGACCTATGTGACCTAGTCTCCTGGTTAGGGTTTTCATACCCTCATGCCAGGTCTTAGCTTGATCGCCCTTTGTTTTTTTCCAATCGCTACCAGCCTTGGCAAACATCGTTCGCCGTGGCAACCTATCTGGTGACATGCGTAGCACATGTCTCAACCAGCGTAACCTATGGAGGTCGATCACCGTAGAGCAGAACTGGCCGAACTGCTGCAGCATACACTCGACCCTTCACAGACAGCCGGATGTCGCGACGGCGCCACACATGTCTCAAATTGGCAAATGCCAATCGAGCCTTTTGTATGCGCGCCGACACTTCACCTGTGATGCGTCCGCCGGGTGAGATATAGCTGTCTAGATAGCAAAATTTGTCTACTTCCCCAGTTAGGGTGAAACTGGGCGCTGGAAGTTCGCTCGTCATGGAGCTGGTCATATGGCATTGGAGGCGTTTAGTACTAATCGGGATGGGTTTGGAATAACTGAGTACCAAGAGGATGCAGATGGAACGTGTGGGGTAAGAATAACAGAGACCTATCAGATTTTACTAAATGAATAAATTAAACATGAAAACGATATTTAGGGAATAGATAATAATGGTCGCACAAAGATCACCACATACCTTCCGTTCGATGGAAAAAACGTAGGTGTATATTCCGTCCAAGTCGCTGAAGTTCATGTAATTATCCAAATAGTTGTAGCAAAAAGTGACCAACTTGAATACCTGTAACATAATGGAAGATTAGGGTTCATTATTTAGAGCTGACGGGTTACAAATAAAATTTTAAAAGATACACTCGGCGCCGTCTCGTAACACGTTGATCTGCAGGATTTATTCACACTGAAACCTGACATACAGAAGTAAAAGTCAACAACCCTGATCGAGCACTATTTTCGTAGTCTGCAAGTAGCACACTCACTGACACGGGCTACAGGCATGAAGAAGCTGGCTTCAGCTTTGGCTTCGGTTGGTGAAGCCCGCCTTCCAGGTTGGGGCCCAAAGGATGAGGATT